AATAATTTTTATTTGTATTGCAGTGAAGACAATTCTTACTATAGCGGTCAAATCATATTTGTTGGAGAGAGAAACATTTAAATTTTCTTGGGCAAAGTTTTTAAAAATATTTTAGGAATATAAATTTTATTTTAGGGATAGAATGAAAAGAATTTGAAACTCTAAAGTCTAAACAAACAAAAATTTTATTTGAAAGCAGATATTATAATTTTAGTATATTTTATTGGGTTTATTGCAAAACCCACCCTATGTAATCTGGAATTGATGAAAAAACACTTGTGTTACATGCAATAAGGTCCCTAACAACTTATTATGTGCTGCACGCGCATATTTTGCGACTGAGAGTGTATTATTGACCCAAAAAGACTAAAATACCCTTTAAATATAAATTTTAAAAGTTACAAATTCACCCCAAATTTCCAGATGCCCCAAAATGAAGTTTTCAAAATTTGCAATTCAAACCTTCCATTTTCAAAAAGGCCATCTTCCCAAATCAAATCATAAACGACACTCCAGCCGGCAACCATCTCCGGTGTCTTCCTCACCAGAAAACGTCACAGCAAGAGAGCCACGGTCACCATCGTACCTGCCTCCACCTTGTCCGCCTCCATAACCACCTCCCTCACGACGTCCATATCCACCACCGTCACCGCCGCTGACCTTTTAAATTGATGATAGGCAGTAGTTCTCCGATGTATGCGGGTCTGGGGGTGGGGGTGGGGGGTGGAGGTGAGGGGGAGGGAGTGAATGGTGTGTTGGTTTGACGGGGAAGATGAAGCAACTGCATTCCTTTTTTTTCTTTTTTTTTTTTTTTTTTTCCTTTTAGGATTTTGTTTTCAATTTTTGTTTTTTTCAAGGGATTCAATATTGTTTGTCTGGGTTGAACGTTTTATATTTTGTTTTATTTCGAATTTAGGATAATTTTGTCATTTCATCTAAGTGAAGAGGAAAAAGGATAAAAGAGGCGGTGTGCTCCGTAACATATAACATAAGTGGGATCTTACTAATTTTTTTTAACACAAGGGGCTTTTCAGCAATTCAAGATTACACAGGGGTTATGTGCAATTAAGTCATAGTTTATTTCCTATATCCAATTTTAATTAATAATTTCTTTTTAACTATATAATATAAAAATTATGTTATAAGTTTTAAAAACTCTAAACCTAAAATAAAATAAACTAAAATTATTTAACATATAATAAAATCACGCATAAACAATAATCTCATGAACTATTCTATAAATAAATAACATTACAACATAAATTAATCTAAAATAAAAAAATTAAAAAGAATAAAAAAAAACACTTCTCATTCACAATTACTATCATCATCATCGCCATCATAATCTTTAACATCATATAAATGTGCTACTAATATCCTTGTTAGTTCATTGTGTTTTCCTTGATCTATCAGATTTCTATTTCGAGTTTTTTATGCATAAATCCATGACCAACCATCTTTATTACTCTATGTTCAGTGGCTATATCTCTTACGCCAATAAACACATCACTTTAACCTATATAATATATAAAAGACGAATTTCACCTTTAATTGTTTGACCTTTGACAATTTCAATTGATAACATACATGTTCTCAATTTCATGCAATGCGGCAAATTGATTGGTGGAAATAAACCGTCAAAAAATATGTCATCATTATGCTTAATTTTGGAAATTTACAAATCCGATATATGGAAATTCATTAATTGTATAAATCATAAATAAACATACGAAATTGGAAACTCTAATTTGTTACTATAAAAGGGGTCTTAAGATATATGTCCCTGGTGACAAAACTTATTAGAACTAAATGACAAGTCTAAGTAAACTTTTGCTTCACAGCCTTTTTAAATTTCATTCCAGAAATGCCCTCCATACACAAAATATGAATATGCATCAAGTAATATTTAAAGTGCATTTATCATTTTTTATTTTGCATTTAACAACATTTTCACTTTTGCATATATTTTATTTTTATTTTTTTTACGTAGAAACACGTTACTTTTTTTTCTTCGTATTTTTCCACTATTATAGAAATATATTTTTTTCTACATAATATTGAAAATTACGAATTAAAAAAAAAGGGTCATAGACATCTATAGACACCCATAGGAAACCGTAGTAATCCGTAGACATCTCTGATCCCATATTCTTGAAACCCTAGCTCCTCCTTTAACCCTAGCTGCTAGACACCCATAGTAACTCATAGACAACTGTAGACATTAAATCGAAAAAATTTAATGTCACATTAAATGACGCATTCAATGACGCTCCTGAGTCTAATGCCCAAGACTCTTCCTTTGTCTCCAAGGTGCAAATTAAAGCATCATCAGGTACTGATATAGATGCAAGATTAGCTTCAGTCTTCGTGTCATGATTCTTTGAAGCGTTTTTGCACTGATTCTTGAAGTGCCCTGTCTTGCCACAATTCCAACACTCAACGATTTTAGTGTTTCTGGAATTTCTTGATTTCGATCTCCCATTCCTCGATTTTCCTCGCTGGACAAATCTTCCGCGATCGTTCTTCACCGAACGACCTCTTGACTCGGTTGACAAGGCAGAATGATTCGAAACATCACCCAATTATGTACGTCGAATTTCTTCACTCATAATGAGGTTACGAACATCGTTGAATTTCAACTTATTATTTCCCTATGAACTACTCACAGCAACGACAATAGCGTTCCAACTATCTGGTAGGGAAGATAAAAGTAACAAAGCCTATATCTCGTCATCAAACTCTATTTCAACAGAGCTTAGTTGTGATGTGATTGTGCTGAGCTCGTTGAGGTGTTGGGCCACCGATGATCCTTCATTCATTCATAAATTGAACAATCGTCGCATTAAATGTACATTATTTGTTGTCGACGGCTTCTCGTACATATTTGAAAGAGCCTTCATAAGACCGGCTGTGGTCTTCTCTTTGCTATGTTGAAAGCAACATTACGAGATAATGACAATCTAATAATTCCAAGAGCTTGGCGGTCAAGAAGTTGCCATTCAGCATCTTTAGGGTTCTTCTCTTCAAGAGGCAGATACAAATTCTTTTTATACAAATAATCCTCGATTTGCATCTTCCAGAAACCAAAGTCTGTACCATCGAACTTCTCAAGTTTGAATTTTCCATCTTCTGTCGCCATTACTTCTTCCACGAATCTGGTTGCCCCAGGAACATATAATCCTTGAGGCTTTGATATCAGTTGTTAGGATTTAAACAACCATATTAAATAAAAAACAATAGAAGACACGAGATATATGTGATTCACCCAAGTTGAGCTACGTCCACGGGCTGCTGCAGATTTTATTATAGGGAAAACAAGAATATTGTTTAGAAACACTCTCACACTCTCTTCTACAACTCACAATACCTCTCAATTCCAGTAGGAACTCTGAAAATGGTACTCTCAATTTTCTGCCTAACTCTAGAATAGATTATTGTTGTTGGCGCCAGATTTTCGATTATTGAAGATCGAGGAAATCCGCTGAGTTTTTGGAATTAAAAGATTGACAAAAATTTGTTTTCCATGTTTATTTTGGAATTTATTAGAGTCCTATTCTTATAATACTTCTATTATGACTTAGATTTATTTCCATGTATTTTATTCTAGTTAGGTATCTTTTGTATTTATTTAAAATAGAAGTAGAAATCAACTAGGATTCTATTACCTAGTTAAATAGATTTCTTGGGGTTCAAGTAAGGTTTTAGAGCTTATTTTCGTGGCTTTATAAGCCTCCAAGACTCTAAAGAACCGTGTGCATTATTTGGACGAAAAACCACGTCATAGCATTGAAGGTTTGCTAAGGCATTTTGCGGAGCAGGACTGTGCCATTGTTGCAATGCATCATCGGTTGTGCCAACATATACAGATTTGCTGTATAGATCTCAAGGGAGATCAACCGCGTTTTCTGAAGGGATTTCAGGCTTGAAGGAAGTTCAAGGCACTCGGAGTGGAGTTGTTGTAGAGAGAGACACGAAGTTCGAGTTGTGTACAAGAACGGCGTAAAAATTAAAGAGAGAGTCTTTATTATTTTTAATTAGTCCTATTAATGTACACTGTAAATCTGAACTAGTGAAATCGTGTTTGCAGGTCCACGTGGATGTAGGGCACATTTGTGTCTGAACCACATTAATTTCTTGTGTTCATTTATTTGCTTTCAGTAGTTTATAATTGTGTTAACACAAGAATAATAGTTGTAACTGAATATTGTTCGCACAACTTAACTGTTACAACTTAGGTTAATTGATATTTATAGGCATATAAATCTACAATTGCTCTTGCTGTAACTAGTTGTTCTTGTCTGTTCTTGCTGACTTGAAGGGTCATTCAAAGCTTGGAACTTGCCCTTGGAATCTTGACCATCAAATGGTGTTTCACCTTCACAGTAATTCCTCTCCACTGATAAGTTCAATGCATCTAAAACCTATGACCGAAAAAAAGGAATTCGTCACTCCTTTTCAAATTCACCGACCAGGAGAAAAAGGTTACGATGGCAAGCCCCTTACCGACGGGATCGCCTCCTAGATAAGGAGGCCGCGAACAACCTCCACTCTCGAGATTCATATTGATCAATTGATCTCTGCGTCTTGCCAGCTCGCTAAGTAGACTCAATTTATCGAGGAGCAGCGAGCGTTGGAACTCTTCCTGCAAAAAAACAAAAGACTTATCGTCTACACCTAGAATAATGAAGATGGTTGGTGAGAGGGTGATGCATAAAAACCCCTATATTTAAACACGATTTGGACTCATTACATTTGGTTCTAGTTGTCGGCATGAAATTCTGGAAATAATTCAGTACAATTTATATTAAAATTCATCAAATATGACCAATAAAGTATTGAAACGTGTCCTGCAATTTGAATTAATGAAATTGCCTTGCTTATATTTTCTGTCCGTCGTTTTCATATTTATTATCTCTCTCTCTCTCTAAAACCCCAACTCCCCCATCCTCTCTCTCTCTCTACTTTGTGTCGGTGTCAAATTGCCCCCCGCCCCCCCCCCCCCCCCCACCCCACACCAGCTGCTAAAGGGTTCCTTCAGATCCACATACTCACACACACTCACATTGCATAAAGCTCAATACGGTTGTTGAATAAATAAATAAATAGAGAGAGAGAGAGAGGGGATTTGTTTTGTGTAAATTATTTTGGGGGTTTTCATATAAAGGGGGTGTGCGTTTATGGTTTGCGTTGTTCTATGATTGCTGGTGTGGAGGAGGAAGAAGCAGTGCGTTTTATGAAGGATCGGTTTGTCTTTGTATATAACAATAATTCGAAGCGTACGAGGTGGGACTGCTCCTTCACCATCCGAAGCCGCGGTCGGTGGGGGAAATGTGGCTGATTAATAAAACATTTCTTCAGAAAAGATAATTGAAATTATTCATTCCATTCTTCTTGAATTAGGAGCTGCTGCTGCTGCTCAGTTTTTTTTTTGGTGCGGGGTTTAAGTTTCCTTGACAATGCAGCCAGATCATCGAAAGAAAGTAAGCTCATTTTTTTATTTTTCTCTTTTTGGCTGTTAAATTATTGATGTTTTGTATGATTAATTTGGAGGGGGGAAGAAAATGAGAGGAAGCTAGATTTTGGGTATCTGGGGTTTACGTTTTACAAGAATTTACATTGAAACCAATATGTTTTATTTAATTTTTGACTTTTACCTTGTTTTCTTGGAAATCCGATGTTTGCGATATTAATATATAGGCATGTAGCTTGTAGGTGTTCTCGGATTATAGGATTTTCCGTGTTTTTATCTTACCCTTTTATTGTATAAAAATTGAAAACTTGTTTTGCTGCTCGATGGTTTATTTGTGAATTTATTTCTTCTTGGTAGGATTAGCGAATTAAATGTGGAAAATGTGATATGTGGTGGGGCATGTTGAGGTGATATGATTTATTGTGTTCGAGTAGTTTGTATTTTAAACTTCATGTCCCGGTGAAACAGTTATAGTTAAAACGTATAAATGCGTTCATTTCTCTTCTGTTTGGTTCTGTAATGGCTACTGCAAATATTGGTTGCCCTGATATATCGAAGGAAAAGTATCGTTAGAGGACAATTCAGTAGTGTTAACTGTGATATTCTTGTTTATCTAGTTTAGTAGTATTATTTCTGTGAAAATGGGTATTTCTGTTGATATTTAACGACTTATCGTTGACGGGTGACATCTTGAAATTGAGTTTCTTTATGATGTAGAATTAATTTATATCCTTTTAACAAGTTTGTTCTTTTGTTTGCTTGTTATGTCACATTTAAAAATTGATTTGATCTACTTCTCGTGCCGCCATCAACCTTTTCATGGTTGCTGCTTACTTGTTGTTTTGCTTTTATCATGAAAAAGCTACCCAAAAAAACGAAAAAAGGAAAAGAAAAGGAAAATGGGAACTGTGCTTCCAACTTGTCTCAATTCTTTTTTTGTCATCCATTTTGTTCTCTGTCTAAATTTATCTGATTAATTATTAGCATGTTATTTTTCATCTTCCTGGACGAGAAGCTGTGTTTACTATTTATAAGAATATGTGCAAGTAATTTGTATTCATCAATTAGTGTTGTACTGCTCCATTTGTTCAATGGACTAAAATTTGTTCATAATTCTATGAAACAGAGTTCTGCAGAGATGGAATTCTTTTCTGAATATGGTGATGCAAGCAGGTATAAGATCCAAGAAGTCGTAGGCAAAGGGAGCTATGGTGTTGTTTGCTCAGCAATCGACACTCACACAGGTGAAAAAGTGGCAATTAAAAAAATACACGATATCTTTGAACACATTTCAGATGCTGCTCGAATTCTCCGAGAAATAAAGCTTCTAAGGCTTCTACGACACCCGGATATTGTCGAAATTAAACACATTATGCTTCCACCTTCAAGGAGAGAATTTAAAGATATTTATGTTGTTTTTGAGCTAATGGAATCGGATCTACATCAAGTTATTAAGGCTAATGATGACTTGACGCGCGAACATTATCAGTTTTTCCTTTACCAATTGCTCCGCGCCCTTAAATATATTCACACAGGTACATTTATTTATCCCTAAAATGTGGTTTAAAACTTTATTATTGTTAAAAGAGATGGTTTCTGTTATGTTGGCAATGATGGATTAGGATAGTGTTTTATGGTGAGTTTTTTTTTTTTTAAATATATAATTTTTTCAAGTCTTTTTTCGTGCAGCTAGTGTATATCATCGAGATTTAAAACCAAAGAATATTCTGGCAAATGCAAACTGTAAACTGAAAATATGTGATTTTGGATTGGCTAGAGTAGCACTCAGTGACACACCTACAACAATATTTTGGACGGTATGAAATAATTGTACAAACAAGAAATTTACGAGTTAAGAAGGAAGACTTATTCATGTTTTCCCGAGTAATGTGCCTAATGTTTTAAATACAGGACTACGTTGCCACAAGATGGTATAGGGCTCCAGAATTATGTGGCTCTTTTTTCTCAAAGGTGAATTTCACATTCTTTTTTTATTATGTTCCCAATTGATTGATGCTCGATTATATCCCAATTTATTTTATCCACATTAACAGTTATTGATATTATTCGATTTTCGACTGCATAATTGTGCAGTATACACCAGCAATTGACATATGGAGTATTGGCTGCATTTTCGCTGAGGTTTTGACGGGGAAGCCTCTTTTTCCTGGAAAGAATGTCGTTCACCAGCTTGATTTGATAACTGATCTTCTCGGAACACCTTCAATGGATACCATTTCTCGCGTACGCTTAATCACATTAGCCTTCAATTTATATTTTTATTTTGCCCTCTACGAACTAAACCTGGTCTTAATATAATTTTTCGTCTTTGCTTGTTTAGGTGCGGAATGAAAAGGCTAGAAGATATCTTACAAGCATGAGAAAGAAGCAGCCAATACCTTTTGCTCAGAAATTTCCAAATGCTGATCCACCGGCTCTTCGTTTATTGGAGAAACTACTTGCTTTTGATCCAAAAGACCGTCCAACTGCACAGGAGGTTCCCTATAACCTAATTAATTTCTTCTATTTAATTTATTTTATTTTATCCAATTGGAAGTGCGAAAGTTACTTTAGATCTAGTATGATTATATTTAATGCTTTGTGCATTTTCAGGCACTGGGTGATCCATACTTTAAGGGATTGGCGAAAGTTGAGAGAGAACCATCAAGCCAACCGATTTCAAAGATGGAATTTGAATTTGAGAGGCGAAGAGTGACGAAAGAGGATATCCGAGAGTTGATATTCCGTGAGATATTAGAGTACCACCCTCAGCTGCGGAATGATTACATTAACGGAATTGAGAGAACTAATTTTCTCTATCCTAGGTGATTGATTATTATCTCTTTTGTCTAGTGCTCTTTATTGTGGTCTTAGTAGATATTGCTATATGGTTAATATAAAATATCTCTTGTGCAGTGCTGTTGATCAGTTTAAAAATCAGTTTGCTCATTTGGAAGAAAATGGTGGTAAAAGTGGACCTGTTATTCCACTTGAAAGAAAGCATGTTTCTCTTCCTAGGTATATGCAAATATCTCGCATTTGTTTAAATTACGGGTACTAATTTATTTTATATATATATATATACACGCACTCTCAAACATATATATGTGTGTGTGTGTGACATTAAGCATATAGCCTATAGGTAAATACGACAACAAATTGCAAATATATATCCTAGTACTATATGGCTGCCTTCTGGCATCATGAAATGAAGTTGTGGTGAAATATTCTTCCAACCATAGTTACATATTCTCCAAAGTGTTAATAAATAGAATAAAAGTCGGATAGTTTTATTAGACATTTCGAACTCTTCCCGTTTTATATTCCTAATAAATATGGAGAAAATATTCTTGGAAGTTTATCGTAAGTAAAGCAATTTAGTCTCAAAACCAAATCCTTTGTTTTAGTAAAATTATATATATATGAGTGAAGTGAATTTGAACTTGTTACAATAGGAAAAGAGGGGAAATATCGGATTTAACCCTTCACCTTGCCTCTTAACAAGCGAGAGGAAACAATACAAGGTGCCTACTTTCCTAGTTAGAGTTGGTTTTCATAAATTTGTATCATGTTAGTTCATTTGTTCTTTCTTTTCAATACTTGTATAGTTTGATTGGATAGCATATATATTTTTATGGGCAGTTTGCTGCCTAATACTGTCTATTCGACTTCAAGAGTGTCTGATTAATACTGTCTTAACTACATTTAATAAGTAATCATGTATGATATTTCATTTCTACCCCTTTGTGCAATTTCCCACAATAACTCCTCATAATAATTCATGCAGGTCTACAGTTGTACATTCCAACACAGTACCTCCAAAGGAGCAGACAACTATCGCAAAAGCTCACAATAGTTCATCAAGAACCTTGCAACCACCACAAAGATTCTCACAAGGTATCTTTTACTGCTTAATTTGTTCAATCACCCTTCTTGCTCCCTTTCTTTCTTTTTCTTTTTTGTTCTTTTTTTTTATTTTTTGGAAATAATTGAGTTTGTTTTCACTGTGTAATTAATTTCACTTCCCGTTATTTGAAACTTTTGGTGTTCAGCTAAACCAGGCAAAGTTGTTGGTCCAGTTTTGCCTTACGAGAATGGAAACCCCATAAAAGATTCGTATGATCCTAGAACGGTGGTCAAAAGTACGGTCCTGTCCTCTCATATAATTCCCTCGTCTAATTGGTATAATAGAAATGGGCAAGGGAAGACAGAAAGATCTGTTGATATAGCCATAGAGATAGATAGCAACCCGTTTTTTATGACCCGGGCTGGAGGAACAAAGTTGGACCATGTTGAAAATAGAGTCGTAATTGACACAAATCTGCTGCTTCAAGGCAAAGCTCAGTACGGTGGTGCCTCCAACAGGAAAGTAGCCCCCGTTCAGTATGGAATGGCTAGGATGTATTAATGGGGATGGGTGTATATTACCACGTGAGCAAAAATAAGTACTTATATCTTCTTTCCGTGGGGTTGGTGCATACTGCGTAGTTAAGGTGATTAAATTTCTCGGAGAAATGATAAATATGGTGATAGTTAAAGTTTTCCAGTTTCAAATTGTGCTGTTGGGAACCTTTTGGTAGTGCTGTAGATGATAGTAATATCATTGTACATTTTAAACAAAATTACATACGTATACATGTGGATGTGTGTATAATGCATATTGAATATATAAACGTGTACGATTGGTTATTATTATCTGTAAGTTGTCTTACACGAGACATTTTTTTATAGCTTAAATGAAAGATGTTTCTTGGAGCTCTTATTGTGTCCTCTTTTCCAAACTTGAAATTACAGTGCCCAACAAGACTTGTGTCCAATTCCCAATATAGCCGTTTAAGAAGGGTGGTTATATAGTCAGAAGCTGTTCTTCAGTAGGTATTTTTTTATCATAATTTCTTTCAAGGGTTCAATCAAATTTATACCTCTAATGTATATCTTCTGTAACACTTATCCCTCAAACTCAATTCAATTTGTATTTTAAATTATATTACTTTAATTTTTTTTTTAAATAATAACCTAAAGAATAATTAAATTATACAACTAAAAATATCTTTTGAAAAATTCAATATTTTAAAATTTAAAAATATTATCTTACACTGTTGGGTACATATTTAATAAATATATCTAACTGTTTTTGGACCAATTAATTGAATATATTCATATCGATAAGAAATCAATACATAAATAATAGTAATTTTAAGTATTTAAATTTATTTTAGTTCATTATTTTTTTTAAAATATATTTTCATTCATTATTATACGATATATATTACTTTTTATTTTTTTCCAATAATTTAATTTTAGTTACTCTTCAATTTTTATGATCCAATAATTATTAGATTCTTATGTTTATTATGTTTTAATTTTAAAATATAAAATATAAAATATTTAATGTTGAGGGAGGTAAGTGTTACAAATGATACTTTAAGGGATAAGTGTTACATAGGCTATATTCAGGAGTGCAAAGTGTATTTAGCCCTTTTTTTAATATTTCTTTTTACCAAACTCTTTCAGTTTCTCACAAAATCCAAAACTCAACATTCAACTCAAAAATTCCGATATTCAACAATTTTCAAGATGGATCCAAACGATCACCTATCGGAGGTGACATTTTCGTTTTTCCTTTAAAGTTCAAGTGTTCGTGTAGATTTAAACAAACACTTACCAAGTGTTCGTGTAGATGTAAAACTACCAAGTGAAGTAAAGTGAAGTTTAAATCATGTGTTCATAAATTCAAAATTTACTTCACTTCGCTAGTGATTTTTTAAACTTGCAAATAACACAAGTAATAAACCTATTTAAAAATGCAAATGACATGTGCCATCATCCTAATTCAAAACCAGTAAAAATGAAAAGCAACAGTGTTCATAAACAACAGTCATAACAAACAACAAAAATAAAACCTAATTTCCACCATAAGCCAGGCCTCATCAGCCACGTACTCTAGCTGGGCAGTGCAACCGGCTCAACCTCATCATCCTCACCATCCTCGCCGCCGTCATCCACCACATTATCCACCATCTCTTAGTCATTGTCGTACGCATTCTGCAATGGAGTACAAACATAGCCGACTTGAAGATCATCGGCAATAGGTAGAGAATGCTCGGCTCCAGTTGCAAAATCTTATTCTCTCGCTCTCACATCTTCTATTGCTCTTGCTTTTTCTCTCGCCATCGCTTTTCTTCTACGATCGGATGCAAGAACGTTTATGCAATCCGAATTATCCGAATTGTTCGACTTCCCACCCAAAGCTTTCATCAAACTCTTACCTTTTCCGCAGTCTGACTCATTAAAATTTTTCCTCTACCTCCTGCCATCTATAATTTAGCAGAAAAATACATTAGTATTGCCAAAAAAAAGCAAAAAGAAAAAATTATTTTCCGAGTTCGTGTGAAAACGGGCGAACAACGCATGAGTTCGTGTGGTTCAGCGAACTCGGTAAATCGAGTTTGCGTTGTTTTACGCGAACGCAACCAACCAGTTCGCCTTGAATCTCACGAACTCATGCGTTTTTTTTTCTCCAAAAAATATGCAATAAATCAATTTAAAAAAAAAAATACTAAAACTCACGAGCTCGCGTGGTTCTACGCGAACTCAGTCCCAGTGAGTTCGTATAGAACCACGCGAGCTCTGCCAAACAAGTTTTTTTTTCTTCATATTCGAATTTGAAGTAACTAAACAATTATTCAAATGTAAAAATTACCTCCGATCTGTTGTCGTCTCTGTTGGGATATGAGAATGTGCCTCCAAAAGCTTGAGAGCGTTTGGGAGAATTTGAGAGGAATTAGATTTTTGGTTTGGAGAAAATGGTAAAACATGATAGATCAACGGAATTAAGAGATGCTATTGTCAAGGCATAATTGATACATACAATTATGCAGCAGATTCTTTGGCAGCAAATATTACTCAATTCATTATGTAATATTATATATATATATATAATAATAATAATAATAATTATTATTTAGGATCCATTTTTCTTTTATAGATACAAACCTATGTGTATATATTGATTGTAATTGAATGGAATAAAACATACTGGTAAAAATACTATTTCTTTATGATACCAGAGCCCTAAAAACCAATTTTGTTTTTCTCCTCCTCTCTCCAAACCATAGAAGAAGTCACAGTTATGGCTGACTCCCAATCATCCTCTCTTCCTCATGTTATATCTATCAATACCGCCTCTCTTATCCCCAATAAACTCTCCAAAGGAGGAAATTACTCCATATGGAGTTCACAAATGACTAACCTACCTTCTACTTGTTTATGACCTTTTGGGTTTCGTTGATGGAACTCATCCTTGTCCACCACCTGAAGATCCATCCTATAAAATTTGGATTCGTCAAGATCGATTGCTACTCCTTGCTATTCAAACGGCTGTCACAGGCCCAACAGGACCTATTGTGTCTCGGTGCAAAAATGCCGAAGAAGCTTGGTTCAAACTCAAAACAACCTACGGCAACAAATCCAACACCCGAATGGTTGGTTTAATCGATTCCCTCACCAAGGTCAGTCAAGATGGAAAAAGTATTTCTGAGTTCATGCAATCCGTTAAAACTATTATTGATGATCTTGCTATGATTGGTCATGATTTGAGCGATGGGGAAATTGTCGTTCACACTCTTAATGGTCTCACTAATAACTACAAAGAAATCAAAGCCGCCTTACGAGCAAGGGAGTCGCCGATCTCTTTTGACGAACTCGTGGAGAAGCTTGTTGATTATGAAACTAGTCTCAAGAATTCAGATTCCGCAACCGATGCACTTTCCATTACTGCCCAATTCTCACAAAAGCACCAAAACAGGAAAGGTACACGGGGAAACTTCATCACCTCCCATTGTCAATTTCCATCTGGAGGATCACCAACAATAGATTCCATCACAATCTCAATGGCATTCGTGGAAGTCGTACTTACTCCAACAACACTCCGGAACTCTAACTGAACCAATCGAATCAGATTTGGAGGTCCAACTACACCACGAACCAACCTCGAGTCGTTTGCTAACTTTGCGATAAACCTGGGCATGTTGCCAAGGTATGCCGATCACGTCCGCCACCAACCAATTGGGCACAAGCAAATTTCACAACTCACGAAACCTCGAACAATACATCAAGTTGGATAGTTGACTCCGGGGCCTCTCATCACATCACCTCAGATCTGCAAAATCTCTCTATTCACTCTGAGTATGGCGGTAATGACGATATCATGGTTGGCAATGGTAATAATGTCCCTATCACTCATATAAGATTCACTACTCTTAATTATTGTGATTCTACCTTCAATATCTTAATAATGTTTTTTGTGCACCTAATATAAAAAGAAATCTCCTTTATGTCTCTCAATTTTGCTCTCAAAATAACGCCTCTATTGAATTTTTTCCTCGTTTCTTTCTTGTGAAGGATCTAATCACCGGGACATCCTTGGTCCGAGGCCAGAGTAGAGGAAATGTGTATGAGTGGCCAGCCTCCATCAGTAATCCACCTTCTTCAACACAACATTCTACTTTCACAGCTATAAAATCCAACTCTCCTTCTTCGATTCATCTTTGGCATTGCCGTCTCGGTCACACGTCTTCTAAAGTCTTACATCAGATTATTTCTTCTCATAAATTGCCTTTAATTAAAAACAGTTCATTTTTACCCTGCAATGCATGCTTATGTAATAAAAGTCACAAACTTCCATTTGGAATTTCTACGTTAAATCCCTCAAAACCTCTTGAAGTTCTCCTTATGGATGTTTGGGGCCCTGCTCCTCTTGTCTCTTTCGATAATTTTCGTTACTATGTTATTTTTGTGGACTATTTTACCAAATACTCGTGGCTTTATCCAATTAAAAATAAATCCGATGTTACCTCAATTTTTGAAAAATTCAAAACCCTCACAGAAAATTATTTCTCGACCACAATTAAAACCATTTATACAGATGGAAGTGGGGAAGCAATTAGCCTTGGTCATTTTCTCTCTTGGACGGGCATTCAACATCTTAAATCTTCACCTCATACTCCTGAGCATGTTGGTACTGCTGAACGCAAACATCGCCACGTTGTTGAAACATTGCTCACTTTACTTCATCATGCATCTATTCCACTCAATAACTGGTCCTTGGCCTTTCAAGCTTCCGCTTACCTCATTAATCGTATGTCTTCTCCTGTCACAGATAATAAATCTCCTTACTTTCACCTTTTTCAGCAAACACCAAACTATTCGTCACTCAAAGTATTTGGTTGTCTTTGCTATCCATGGCTACGACCATACTCCTCTCATAAATTAGAACCACGGTCTTGTCCTTGTGTATTCGTCGGTTACTCAATTCCTCATCACGCATATCTCTGTCTTGATCCATCTATGAACAAAATATTTATCTCTCGACATGTGATTTTCGTGGAAAATATTTTGCCCTTTAATAAACCTAATTCGCCCACTAAGCCATCTCTCAGTAATGCATGGTTACTTAAACCAAATATCACGATGCATGGTTACTTAAACCAAATATCACGCATGCTCGTACTTCTACTTCAACTAATCCCACCTCACCATCTTTCACAACCAACCCACATATATCTCAAGTTCCTGTCTCTTCCACCCCCTCGACGGAAAAACAGTCTTCTCAAAATCATCACACTGATTTGCAAGGTGGACCAACTTCTGAAGCTTTAAACCACGACCACTCATCTGCACACACCTCCTCCATGTCTCAACCCAATGATGCATCCAATCCTTCACAGGTAAGTACTTCATCTCATATATCTCC